TTCTGCATGTGCGCATAAATATACATATACAAATAGATATATAAAGACACACATACACACACACACACACACACACACACACACACACACACACTTCCGCCTTCAATATATCGACGGCCTCCTCGTCGTCGCTGTTGGCTGGAAGAGCATGTTATGGAGCGCCTGGACTTTTTGTTTTAACTCTCTACTACCCTTATAGTTAGTTTACGAAGGAAATGGTATTGAAGAAAAGTGTCTTAGAATGTTATGTTCTATCGGATGGCAAGGTTAGATTCTTCATTTTCGGTGTTAGGCGTCATTTCCAGTAATACCATATATATATATATATATATATATATATATATATATATATATATATATATATATATATATATATATATTAGATGCAGCTACCCCCGATTATAACCATTACCTAATCTATGGTTCCATTGTCGGTCGACTAACAACCTCTTGTCGCGGCGAGACGCTTTCCTTGTATTGTTTTATAATTTTAACGCGAATACTGTCAAAAGCCGGGGTAATAGCTCTAAAATTAGAACATGAATAAAACTATATTTATTTATCAATTAATTACGCCCATACACACACACACACACATATATATATACACACTTATATACATATATATACATACTTACACACGTCCATGAATACCGTGTGCATAAGCATGATTTGTGTAAGCCATTGGACAACGTGGCTCGAAGTACAGTAGAGAACCATCGACTCAACGAGGGCTTAGAAGACGAGTTTGTCTGACCTTGTTTGACCCCGGAGTTGTGCCTCAGCAGCCCGCGTGCCCAGGGCAGGACCACGTGACTCACCTTGTGTGTTCCCTTCACTGTGTAGTACTCTTCATTAATAAAAAGCCAAGCCGTTATAGAACTGTGACTACCCCTGCAAACCACATATATGTAAATATATACAAATATACATACATGCATATCTAACTATCTATATGTGTAAACATACATACACACACACACACACACACACACACACACACACACACATATATATATATATATATATATATATATAAATATATATATATATATATATATATATATATATATATATATATATATATATATGTATATACATATATATATATACACATACATATATATGTATACATATACATATACACAGGTACATATATGTATACATATACATATACACAGGTATATATATGTATACATATACATATACACAGGTATATATATGTAAACATATACATATACACAGGTATATACATGTATACATATACATATATATAGATATGTATTATATATATACACACACGCATACACATACATATGTGTATATATATATTCATACATATATATGTATATGTATACATAGGATATGTATTTATAAATTTATACATGTATGTATATATGTATATGTATACAT